TACGTGTATTGCTCATGAATATATGTATACGCAGGAAGTGAGAAACAATGGTGCATGAAAATATGAATACCCAAAGTGATTTCATTGAATGGTTGATCTGTGGTGTGCTGGCATTAGTTAGGAGCCTTCATGTCCCGCTCTTACTATGTTGAGTGGCTCTTCCGGCTTGCAGCACACTCTCGTGTCGATTGCCTGCATCGGATGTCCTCGTTTCAATTGATCCATATGAGGAAGATTCCTGAAAATGAAACTGTTTGAGTGTTGCAAAGAGTAGTGCACTCCGGCACTTTCCAATATTTCTTTGCGTAATATTTTAACCTGAAATCTGGTGTTTAGTTCTAAAACTTGCACATTTGAACTCGCTTTCGCACTTTCCAGCAGTCTGTGCATATTTCTACTGATTTTGCCTATCTCTCTAAGCTTTTTTGCGGGCAATTTTTGCGCCGCTTCGAGAATTCCTCCCTTTTCACCTCCCTGTCCTTTATCCTTGACCTGATTGTATTAGTGACTGTGATTAAAACCTTCTGTCAGTCCATGTTACTGGCTCAGATAATCATTGTAATTTGAGCTACATGAACTTTTACTTCACTTCTTAGTAATGTTCTGCGGAGTAAAGTGAGCAAGGGAAGAGTGTGAGTAAGAAGCTATTGAAATGTGTTAAAGTTCGCAGGCTGCTTAGCCTGGATAAATTTTTTATACTCTAGCTTCATTTTGTCTGGTAATGGTTTCGTTCTAAGTCTTTGGCTGGGATTAAAATCTTGAGGATTTGGATTACACCTGTTGCTTCATAGCACATATATCTCTAGTGCTGAAATAAATTTGACGACGAGTCTTCAAGTCCATATAGCACCGATTATGGATGACAGCAACTGCTCAGCCTGCTAGTCGAGATCTGGAAACATCTCTTCTCTTCTGTTTTATGGCTTACATGCAAACACTGTCTCGCAAAACTAAGAAAAAGTAATTTCAGTTGTTAAAGAAAAAAATTTCTTCCTACGTGGCGTGATGTGTAATGTGACTTGATTGTCGGTTTATGTATTTACCCTGCTATGTGGGAAGTAGAATTTTTGCTGAGAATTTCTCTGGTACCATCGCTGTGCTCGCAGAAGGCCTCCAGAACGAAACCCTCTACAGATGCTTTTTTGTTCCTATGTGTTATGCTTTCGCGCGATTTTTTTGCCCGTTCCCTGAACTTAATGCGTTTTGTTCGTTCCACAACGACTGGCGCCGGATAGCATTTCAGGTTCGGGTCCAGGTTCCACGTCGTTAGCTGTACGCTATTTCGACGGATTTACTTTTCACTATTGCTACCAGCTTTCCTGTTTTCCTCTTCTGTTCTGAATTACTCGACTGCCCCGCACTCTTTTTTCCTTTCATTCATTCGCTTTCACATTTGATTCCAGAAGTTGCTGCGAGCGCCACGGGTCGTCCCAGAAAAAGTTTGTTCGGACTCCTCTGCGCACAAATGATTTGTTGTATTATTGCATTTTCCTATGGGCCTGCAGCTCAGCGCTTTTTATAATAATAACAAAAATAACAATAGTAATATTAATAAAATCCTACTGCCAGCACTGCGACCAATCCATCGAGCAGCGTCCTCGTGCTGCGTTCTCATTCATCCACGTCTTTCATTCGCAAACATTCTTCTCCGTATTCATACTGAATGCTGCAGCCGCTATCCGGGAAATATTGAAGCATACACCGATTAAGTGTCCTTCTCTTTGACCCATCAAAGGCTCTCCGATTTTACCAACGTTATCCGGCGCACCTACGCTACAACACGTCAAAACGTTACCCTCGTGCTTCATAGCTCCAGTAGCACCAGCACCAGCAACACTGTTTCCGAGCCCAGCGTTTGGTTTGAACCCGACCACAAACTTCCTGAATTGCCCCGTGCTTTACCCAGCAGCAGCAGCAGCGTACGCTACATTAATACCAGCGGATGCTCACAGCACATTCCTCTATCACCCCACAGTAGCCGCAGCGAATAATTCCCATTTTCAACAGCAGTATTCGAGTTTTACCCCTTCAGTCACTTCCGCCACAGCATTCCTCACCGGTAATATACTGCAAACTGCCGCAGAAGCTGCACTGAATAGCACTAGCAGCAATAAACGCAAATCAACTACGATTTACAGTACCAAGTCAGAAAGTAAACTGTACGGTAGCGGTAGCTTAGCCACACTCACGCCAGAATCGCCGAGCCGAACACCGGTAAATCATAAGAAAACGTGTGTGAAGCTCGATTGCAATCCGGTTTGCGGGCCCACCAGGCCGGAAGGTAAGCGAGTCGACTCGTCGGCCGCCGCATGTATGGCTGCATCACCAGTCAGGCCGGTCATTGGTCAGCAACAATCGCAGCAACAAATTGCGGCAAGCGATATTGCCGCCCACTACCAATCCCATCCTTTCGAGCAGTCACAGTTGGCCGTCGCATCTTCTGCGGTCAAGTCGCAGCAGCTCTTTAAAAGCATGGAGCAGATGAGGCAGTCGCAAATGCAGTCGCAAGATGCGCAGCAGCAGCAACAGCAACAGCAGATGGTATAGCCATTTTAGCTATGTGCGGTGTGCGCTTTTTCCCGCATTCTGGCTTTTATACATATTTCTACAGCTTTCATAATTGCGTACACATTGTGCAGTGCTTATTTTTTGTCAGGAGCAGTGCCAGAGCCGGGAAGCTTTTTGGCTTACTGAAAATATGATTAGTTTTACGCCGTGAACATAGCAGGGTGCGGGCAGAAATTTGACGCGATACTTCCTGCTAAAATCTCTTCATCATATATGCCTTTCCAGTGGCATAAATGGAGAGTCCATATTTTCTTACTTTTCTGGTTTCCGCTATGAGCTGCAATTGTAAAAGTTTTAACCACTGAGTGCAAAAAGTAAGCGTTATCCATGCTTGCCATAATATCACATAATTCTCTGCAGAATTCTGCAAACACAGAAGTTAATTTTGGCATTTCTCATACCATATCCAACAACACTTTAACCGCAAAAGTGGAAATAGAGGAAGCGTCGAGAGTCATTTGGGAAGACGCTTGTAGGCCATTTTATTTCGTCATTTAGTTTCGAAACCAACATGTCGGTGGCAACAATTGGATTCGGGATTTCCTTCTCTTTTCCTCCAGGGTAACTCCAGGATCTTTCGTTGACGCTCGCTCTCATTTTTTACTTGTGCTACTGATAAACACTGTATGGAATTAAACTGCAATGAAGTTATGTCTGAAACAAAAATTTGCTAATAACAAAAATTACGGATTAGCTTAATTGATTTGTAGTTCTTAAAAATGTCCTTAGTGTATGTACATATATCGTAGCGATTTATAAAAGCAAAAAGTCAAAAAACACTGGTTCTCTGTGTTGCTAAACTGTCTAAGTAGTGAATTCCCGGATGTGCACAAACATAGCAGAGCTAACCACTTTGGGATGGAAAATGTTAGAGCATCAGCCAAGAATTAGTTGAACGAAAAACATGACGTCTGTGTCTTCTCATTAAAAGAGTTTTAATGCTTCCGCTGCCCCCTCCTCTTCTAGTTGCACGGTGCAGATGATTTGAATCTCAGAAACTTTTCCTTTCAGCAGCGAAGATGGAATACAAAATGTCCCCTTCTAATCAAACGGTGAAAAATGCACAACTCACTTGTTGGATTGATTGCAAATCTGTTCTTGGCAGGATTCTTTAAGTTATAGATGCTCGAATCAAATTGATAACAGCTTTGCATGTGAATTAGCTTAGCACTTGCTTCATGAAAGACCGGTATAAGAGGATGTCAGCGAAGTTCTTTTTCAGTGGTAGGCTGTTTCAGGCAGTTTCGAATCTGAACACGCTAATTTGTTACAGGCATCAAACCTTCTGGTATTGGGAAATGGTTCAGCGGGTGGCACTGGTGCAGCACCAGTTAGTTCTTCCGCTTTGGATATATCGGCATGCACACAGCAACAGCCCAATTCAGTTTTGCGTGTTATCATCGAGAATATGCTGTATCCAGTCACCTTGGATGTGCTGCATCAGATTTTCTCAAGATATGGCAAAGTTCTTCGAATTATCACCTTCAATAAAAACAGTAATCCTTTTCTTCAAAATTGTAGAATATTTTACTCAGCAATAACAGTTGCTGCTAGAAAAGGCGAGGAGGGAGAACAGGTACTTTTTTTATAAAAGAGAGTTTTAGATTATCCTCTGCTAAGAAAAATATTGTTTGTTTTTTTTTTTGTCTCATGGGAACAAGGTGTCTTCCGAGATAATTGCTGCACGATGGGCCACATTTTCGCTCTGAGCCAATTACCGAAGCGCGCATAGGAATATTAACAAACTCTTTGTCTCCTACTGTTCAGTTGCGGAAAACATTTGAAAGCGCGTGGCTGGATGCTGCAGTTCGTGTTCTTGTAGGCAGTAGCACTGATGGAAGCGATATGAAAATTCTTGAAAGAAAAAGTGGATACAGACTGTTCGATAGACACAATACAGAAATACAGTTTAAAAAATTCATCCAGATTACCTGTAACTAGTGTAGTGATTGAAAAATTAATTGATATATATGATATAGACCTGTAAATTGCTTTATTCTGAAACCCATTTTTATACGAAGCTCAATTTATGCATGCTTAAAATTATTATACGTTTTTGCTGTGCAGCGCTATAGCGCTGCTACAGCCAGCAAAAACACATATTGTCGAGAGGCTGT